TTTATAGTAATAATATGATGCATTTGGTAAATGAATTAGGACTCAAAATACACCTATGCCATTATATTTCAACAGAGAGCCATGTGGGGTGTGCGATAGACTTACCTCTACGTGGTGCACCCTGGGCAACGTATATTCATAGGGCAAAAAAGTCTATTAACTGGCAGTTGACTTCTCACTTCAAACTACCATCACCTCACTCCATGCTATATTCGACCATTTTCACAGCACTCACCTCACCATTGTTCTACCTTTGTGTTTGTCCCTTACATCTTTGAAACACTCTTCTGTCCCCACCTCTCTCGACTTTTTCTCATTTCGATGTACCTTCCCCTCTGTAAAGCCTGAAGTCAACTAAAGGGCTGATGATAACCATCAAAACGCCTGCCATTTGATATAAATAAATAAACTTTTGCCATGCTGTTATGCATGGGACCAAGTTTTCTTCAATACCTCATATATAAAATTGAGCTTTGTTTTGTTAATAAGATCCTATTTCGATTTATTGATTATTGGTTCTCAGCCTTCTTACGCGCTTGAAATGGTCAAGGGCAAATAGCTGTGCAATGTTACTCTCGAGAAAACGGTTTCTTCATACGTTACTACATAATCAATAGAGCTGAAATTGATACTGTATTTTGAAAACTTCAAAAACTGCCCTGTTACAGTGCAATACTATGGAATAATATTGAAAATTTAACATAAACATAAATTTAACTTGGTTGAATTTCTTCAAATTGGCAAGAATCAACTTTGAACGAAAAAAACAATACTTGAAAATAAAATGTTTAGCAATTCTGTCACCATTCGCTAATTTAATCACGAAGATTAGATTGTCTAAATAAAACTAGTCTAATCAAATTACTGGAAATTCAATAAGGTAAAAGGCTTTCATTTGAAGCACATCGGTTAAAGTTAATAAAATTCAATTTCTTGATATTCTGAAAAGTCCATATTCCGTTAGAACAAAAATCGAATAAGTGGCTCACCTGATATTGGAAAAGCAAATCTGTTTGGGTACTGAGTACAAAGAAGAAATTTTAGTGTTCTTCGTCCGACTCCGTTTGGGCCGATAAGAAGTAGAGTATGTACAGTTGAGGGAGGCCAAGGAACCACCTCCTCATAGACCCACAAATCCGATCGAACCAGAAGATCTAGGATGTGTAAATCAATGATCTAGCCCAAAACTCACTTGATGAATCGGCGGCACGGAATAAGGACTTCACTTTTTTAGTCCTCTTGCTCGTGTTCACTGCAAATGAAAAATAGTTGATATTAGTGGTGTGATTGAGGTTAAATGTTCACGCTTTTGGGAGGGAAAGTGACAATGATGGCGGCATGAGATTCCAACCGGAAATTAGCTTTTATTCCAACTAAAAACAATATCAGACTATCAAAGTGGTAACATTTATCTCATTTATGCAGAAAATATATTTTTGAGCATCATATGCCAAATTAATTATTAAATGCGATACTACCATCTCTTGACTGCAAATAAGAGAATACAAAATTCATAATAACTTTAAGAAAGAAAGTGTATGAAAATTGTAGATTAAATTTGAATAACAGCTAAAGTTTGTCAGTTGTTTTAAACAAATTGGTATTAAAATAGTCTTCTGACACAAACATTATTGTGGATGCCATTTCAAAAGTGGTAATTTCATCATTAAGGTTAGTGATCTTCTCAACGAAGTTTTGAAAAGGTTAAGGGTTTGAACTTTTAAAATATCTCCATATAAAAGTACGGCATAATATTTTATTTCGATCTTTTGCACAGAATTTGAAATTTTGATAATGAATTTTTGTAAGAGTACGCCAGAATACAATTGGGCAGAAATCTTACTTCGAAAAGTTTGCTGATTGAATGCCTGTCGTCTTTCCTCAAGAGTTTGAGATGGAACGAGTCCTACGGGTGAATTTGGAGCATCAAGGCGTCTTACTTGCCACCAGTTCAGATCTTGAGCATCTACCAACTCCAGGACATCTCCACTCTTAAACGAGACTCCTAGAGCAATGTTCGGCAGAAGTGTATCCTTGGCCGAGTCGTACTTAAACAGACATCGAATGTATACCTTAAGCCAGAATGGAAATTCTTTATTCAAGGGCAGCCAAGGTCAGAAAGAAAGAAAACAGTTAACTCAAACTTGGTCAAATTCAGGTAACACTGGTACTGTAAAATCGGATAGTTAAATGTTCTAAGGTTTCTAAAGGTTCTTTCTAGAACTCTGAATCATGAATATTGTCAACTGAACTTGTGCACAGACAACAAACATGATAAGATGAAAGGAATATAACAATGAGTCATGGGTTTTTGAACACGCTGGATAAGAAATTGAACACCACATATAAATGTAGCAGGCCAAGGTTCACTGTTTTATTGTTACATTCCAGTGGTGTTCATGAAATTGAAAGAGAAAGTTAATGTACTTCATCTGCGCATAGGAAGTTTGGGACGACCAATCACAACCCAGGGTCTCTAAACATAAATGCCAAATAGCGAAAAGAATAGCAGGTGAGATGACACCAGGTTTACTCATAACTTTACTGATCAAAGGTATTGAATCCAACTTTGTACAGCTGGTCATTGTGGGTGCAGTGGATCAAGACTCTGCATTGCCTAGACACCTGCGCAATATGCCTACGATGAATCATGTGATCAATCAAGGTGGTCGGGAATGCAAATCACTTTGTTCCACTCATTGCATGACATATAACTCTAAAGAGTCATTGCACTAAATTAAAATATGAATTCTTGATGTAGTTTCCCTAATTCAGCTATCCATCAAACTTCTGTGTTTCTCTGAAGAAAAATTATGAAAACGAGTTTGATGGAATACAACTTAACTAAGAAGATCAAATTTAACATAGACAGGAAGATTAATTATAGAGATTTCGATTTAATAGGCGTATTGAATTCAGTGCACTGGGGTTAATCAATATTCAATCAGACAGTTGAGGGTATCTATTGAAGCCTACAGCTTCCACTCAGTCGCAGTAAATAAAAAAATTGTGTAGGTTATATTAGATTTCACTTTCAAGAGCGAAGGGTATGCGATTGACTTACCTCCACTTGGTGCACCCTGGGCAACGTATACTCATACGGCAAAAAGTCTATTAACCGGCAGTTGACTTCTGACTTCAAGCTACCATCACCCCCACTGTATGTCATATTCGACTACTTTCACAGTACTCACCTTACCTTTTCTCTGCCTTCGTGTCCTTTGTGCCCCTCTCTTTTGTACCTGTAAATCATTATTCTGTCCCCCTTCACGACTTTTGTCACTTCGATGTTCCCCCTCCTCTCTGTGAAGCCGGAAGTCAGCTAAAGGGCTAATGATAACTATCAAAACGCCTGCCACTTGAAATAAATAAAACTTTCAAGAGCGAAGGTTTGTAGCATTCATCTTCTCGTATTCCATCATTTTCACAAACTATTTATTCGGTAATTTGTCAGTTTACTGTGATTAAATGATTGTTCTACTGCTATCGCTACCAACACAGAGTGGATAAGCAATACGGAGCACATAATTTCTCGCAAAATTTGAATTTGGCGGGGTGTAATCGTGTAATGCCGTGGTAGACAACCAAGTATAAGAATCAAATTAGAATGAAATCGGAAAATTACACAT